GTATTATGACTGATGCAATATTGGAGCCTACAGAGTTCAAAGGGTTAACCCTTTGCACCCTTACTAATTTTGTATTTAAGCCACCAGTAACACCGAACCATTGTTGAAGGACCATGGAAACATTAAACTTTATCACTAAAAAAGGTATAATGGCTAACGGTAGTTAATACATTTGTCGCCGTAGCGGCGCCTACGGAGTGCAAAGGGTGAAACCCGAAGCGCTCGGTAACGCGTCTCGACGGAACGTTCAAACGAATTCAGAGCGCTGTCCAAAGTTCAATTCGCTAATCCGCCGGTCCGTCGTAAAGTTCGGACACCCGTTTTAAAGAGACATTAACGGCCGATCGTTAAAAAGATTGAGAGATTGTTCGAGGAGCGTGGCCGTAAAATTCTTTCGGGGGAAAAAAAGAGAAGGACGACGACGGGGAACGTCGGGCCGCGGAGGGGCGTAGAAAAGAAAAGATCGTAAACGGACTCGTTTATGCTCTCTCGCGCGATATTATATAATATTGCGTGATTACGAGCGAGACGCGGTGACGAAAGCCTATTGGAAAAGGGGGTGGCGGGGGGAGGGGCGACGGAGGGAAAATGGCGTCGCGGGCCGCGCACGGCGAGCTAATACGGGACAAAGAATGATATATCACGGTATCGTAACTAAGACGCTAATTATATGCTGGAGGCATTGCCATTATCTAACCATAACTACTCCCACCTAGATTCCGGACAATGTGACTGGACGGAGACCTTTAACAGAGTTATCTTGCCCAACGCAGCTGCTCGCCGAGCGTGTTGTAACCCGGTGCAACGAGCTAAATTGTCGTTAACGGTAAATTACAACAGGCAAACCATTCAGGCGGCCGCGCGAGCGCGGTCTCTCGGATCCAGAATTAATTCGCTGTCCCCGATGCATCCACGCTCTCGTGTCCGCGGAACGAGAGCCCCGTGAATGTGACATTTCGCCAGCGAGCGCGAGCGCGTGCACGCCTCATCGGGTCGTTAGACGTTACGAACACCTGGAAATTCTTAGCCACAGCCGGGAATTGTGTAAACGGCTGGTATTTATTAATAAAGACGGCAATTTATGGATTTCATCGGCGGCCCGCGACGCGAGGTTGACTGACGGCCGGGAACAATTTATCGCCGATAAACTCGGGGATCGATGGATCCTAAGGGTGGCCGGTGCCGGGAGTTTCGAAATTTACCGGTAAAAGGGAGGATTATTTATTAACGGTCGAGACGGTTTTATTATTGCCCCGTCTCGGCCGGGGAATCGCGGGGGGAGCTTCCAGTCGGGTTCGAATGTTAACGATTCGACCGAGACTTCGGCAGGTGCGGTTGAACGCGAGTACTTATTACGTCCCTTGAAGTTGCTGTCCCTCCGTCGAAGGGGAATTATAATTCTGGTATTTAAGGACGAGTCGCGGGACGTGATTATTCAATCTGGAAGCGTAACGCTCGCTCTCGTACGGGACGCGTGAGCGTGACATTTGAATCGGAACCTCGACGGTCGTATTCGAATTTGAATATTCGTGGGGAAATTGGAATCGAAATGTCAGAGTAAATGTTAAGCGGGCACCGGTTAATTCGCTTTTTGAATCTCGCTTTTCGTTCGAACAGCGATCGCGGCAACTGTAACCCTTAGCACGTCCTATGTCAGACTCGACATTCTATCTTGTTGCAACCTCTACTTGTTTTAACGATTTTTTCTATATTTATTCGTAGTACCACAATTGTGCCATTTAACGCTAGGTTTACGGAACGCGTCAATTTGACGCAGATTGAATTTTATATAAATGTTTTAATCGGTTCTCGTTGATCCAATTACACGAATATCAACTTCCCCAGGAACAATAGAATAAACTGTACAATAAATGTAAACCTAGTTAAAGGTAACATTTCAACGACTCCCGAATATTCTTGAATGAATAAATAGAGCGTCACGTTAAGCTGTCGTTGAATGAACCGACGTCGACGTGAACCTCGAGGTGAGAAACCGAGAGCGCTTCGGGCCGCGAAGGGATAACGGTCGCGTTGTTTCGGAAGTGCGGAACACGGTAGCCGCGAGACCGTTTCCCATGGCGAACGAATCGGCGAAAAGGGTCAAGCGAATTCAGTAGCCGCCGCGATTTTCTCCGTTCGAGCGAGCGAGCCGAACGTTGGAGAAATAGCGGGAGCGTATTATGTCACAACTCCTGGCTGCAGTGGCAAGGTAGAGGCAGGCCGTGAACCTAAGTGCAGCCGGCACGTTGCACGGTCGCACGTGACTGGTTAGACGAGCTCTTTTCTGCGTTTATTATTTTCATCGGCCTTCCCCTCCTCCGTGGCTCCCTCCTCGCGGAATTACAACGTGGAACCTCCTGCGCCCCGAATTAACCCATTTTTGCGCTGATTGCGCGGGCAGAAGGGAAAATTACGTTTTCGCCGGCGCTTCGGGGAAAGGGAATGTTTCAACGCGCCAGCGTTATTACGCGAACCGAGCACGAACATTCTGTAGTATAAAACTTGTCGAAAAGAACGCTTACAACGTAATTGCATCTTAAAGATGCTAATGGTATCAATTATCCATGCGAGGTAATTTTAGTGGAGGAAAGGTCGAACGCTGGTCGTCCGCGTTTCATCAATCGGTGGCTTCTTGACTCTTTGAGGTTAGGGTTAACCGCCCTTTGCTCTTTTCATGCATGGTGGGGTATGTTTTGACCCACCGCGAAAAGTTGTAGTTACCGATAGTCGTACAGTTTAATGTTTCAAGCTTTTTCACCCAGTTGGCGATGCTGTGAACTAAATAAATGCGTAAATGAGTGAAAGTTGTCGAGACTGTTGTGATTAAGGTTGCGAATTGTGTGATATGAATTCTTTGCAGCTTGGGCTGTTTTCTTATTTCAAATCGTGTGCCTCAAAGAGTTAAGGGGCGCAATAAATAGAGCGGGAGCTATATTGATAAGAGCTAAATTGCTCTGAGCGAGAAATGTTGCATTAACCTGTCGCACTCGAAAGTTTTTCGCTAGAAATCTACAACATGCCCCAATGAGATACAAACGACATTCTTTGACACTAATAAACGAGAAAACGCGCGTAAATTAAGAAACAAGGCTATTTTATGTCAATATTTCACACGTCGATGCAGTATACGTATCAGAGTGTTATATATAAGACTATGATTTTTCTAGATCAAATCTAATGGTAAAATCTAATCATTTTCTACGTCAAAATCTCCACTTGATTTCATACAGTAACTCTAACATTTGATATTTAACATTATACCTCGTATCAATTTGAGAAATATTGAAATAAAATAGCCTTGTTCCTCAATGTACGTGTGATTTCTCTTCCAGTTAGTTTCACAAAATATCGTCTTTATCTCATCAGAAAATGTTCAAATGTTTCTAGTGAAAAACTTCCGAGTACAAAGGCTTGAGAAGAGTACTATTCCGACAACTTCCCATTTCATCTTATCCCGTCAAGATCCCGTTTCATAAAATATCGATTTTATCTCATCGGAAAATGTTGAAATATTTCTAGTGAAAAACTTCCGAGTGCAAAGGGTTAACCGCATGAGTTTTCCGAATTTCACGTGCACTTTCCTCGTGACTGGTTCAATATTTGCAATTACGGTTACAGTTCTTCCAGATACAGTCTTACCGTCTAAATTCCATTGATTTCGGTGACGACTGAGAAGATCCCGTCTCACAGTCGTTCTACAAGCATCCGTTCCCGAAAAAGCCCGAAAAATCACGGGAGGAACGATGGAATCCGATTCTGGTGTTCATTATCCCCTCCTGGAAGACGAACGGTATCGACGCGCAATTTGCGCAACAACGAACGGTTTCGAGTTTCGAGTTTCGCATGCTATCGATACGTCTCGTTCGAACATCGTTCAATCATTCGCGGCATGGTTGCCGCGTTATCAGCGGAAACGTCGGAACGAGACCAATTAACGTTGAGACTACGTTGGTCGCTGCTCCCCCGAAGTAATTTCATAGAATTATCATTTTTCCATTGTTAGTGGCAGTTAAGGTTAAATCGACGGAAATTCGAATGGGAGACACCGCGCGCGGCTTAAGCGACGGAATACTCGGCACGAAACGGACCGTAGACCCGTTTAATCCCCGCGGGGGTGCCGGTCACGATTATTTATCGTCCTCATTCCGTACACGCTCGAGCCGGAGGGTCGGCTCGCTCTTAATTGGATTTAAGGGTCGAAGATTTTATGGCCGGCCGCGAGGCAGACGGGGGGTTCTAGCGATTTTCTTGCTTTCTCGTTAAATTCGTCCGTCCCGAACGCTCAATCGACGCCCCCGATCGTCGTTCGCGCGGCTCGAACGACCGGCGCGACCTTCGGGGCACACGACCCGCGAACACGAGACCTTCTGTGCGTTCAAAGTTGCCCAACGGCTGTTCGTATTTATATAATTATCCACCGTTCAACGCGAACCGATCGGAGACCCTTAAGTTACTATAAATTTTCGAAACACACCCTCTATTCACAGGTCACTTAACCATTTGAACTCTGTAGCCTCCGATATTGCACCAGTTCTAATATTGAATGTTTTAATGAATTTTAAGGAATCTACCTTCAGATTATTAGATCCTCCAGATATACAACGTTTGTGCTGAGAAGGGAAATTAAGGGTCTAAGAAATGTAACATTGTTAATTTTTTGTAGGACTACCATCAAAATTGGTAGGAGTTGCTGACACGTTAGGAAATCATCTAGAGTGCTAAGGGTTAACCCTTTGAATTTACAATGGTGTGCTTCTGTGGAAGATTGAAGATCCTGCTTTGTATAAAAAACATGTATAGATTTTGAAGTTATGTTTTATAGAAACGGAGTCAATTTAATTTTTGTTAATTTTTCAACTGTTGGGAATATGAGATTTGACTCAATATAATTGATTTAATTTGATGATACTTTTATCCGATTCAGCAACTTTACTTTAATTCGGAGATAATATGAATTAATCCGGGTTATCGTTGCTTAGAAAGTTTGATCTGCAAACGAATCTCGATTGTTTCGTATGAAGGACACCTTTATTCTTGAAGTAACATACAATGATTGATTTCCTTATAAATAACAGCACCTCTAGTGCTCCGGCGTAAAGCCACTCCTATTGCTGCAGGTTGCTATAAAATCTCCTATTCGCCTATTCGCTTTATAAATACTTATGAATCTTATATTAAAATCTACTCTGTTACTTAAATATACTTATCAGTTACGTTACACTTTCGCCGCTGCAACAATAGAAGCGTGGAATAAATAAATAATTTAATAAATAGATAATACATAGATTGGCGCAATGTGAATGATACGAATCGATGACACGCGTGTCGATGCGACGATGCTGGGATTTAGTTAAGTTCGCGTTTTACGACGCGGTTTGGCGTCTGTGCCACAGCAGCAGTCGCTGCTGCCTGAATCCGACAACACGCTGCTCGAGAAACTGCATGACGAGCAGCAATCGCAGTCCGAGCAACCGCACGACGAGGAACAATCGCAGTCCGAGCTACCGTCTGACGGGCAATCGCACGGCGAGGGAGATCGTCCTGGAGAAAAAGAAGATTTAACAATCATTTTTGGCACACTCGAGTATTTTCGGAACAACTTAGTAATCCAAACTTCACAGAAACTGTATTTAACAAGTAATTAGATACTTAAACTAGTGAAGAACCACCGAATATTCATTAGACTGTTAGAGCGTTTCAAATATCTTTCGTCCCGCGATTGATTTGTACTTCGTATATGATCAAAATGGCGTTTCACGACGTCTAAACAGAATAAAAATAGTTTCGCGTAAGAAATCCTTGATGTTCCTAAAGAACACAAGAATAATTAGAGATTCCACCTTTAAGTACCTGAATTCAACCTTTAAGTATAGAAGTTTGAGAATAACCGGTAAATATTCTCAATCGCAGCAACTAATACAAATATTCATTGTATTTCTTTGTTTTTACTTATGTAAATATCTATGCATAGCCGTAGTATCAACCGTGTAACGGAAATTTCACTGGTTTCAAAATTCACGATATTTTATAGAGACCTTCGAGATCGCACGTTCATACACGAAGATTAAAGAATATACGAAGCGGAGACAAGTGAACAGACTCTATGTTGTATATTATACGACATTATACTTTATACTTTATTCAATAAAGGAAAGAAGTCTCACTCGTTCGACGAGATGGCTTCCTTCTCCAGGTTTTCGTCCCGTTGCACGGAGTTTGGTACCGCGTTTTCGCCTTCGACGATCGCACGCTCAATTTCGACCTCCTTCCCGGTTTGCCTTTATTCCTTCGCCTCCGCGGACGGCAGCTACCGTAACAATGGCTGCCGGAGGAGTCATAGGAGTCCGAGTAAGACAACGACGAGTCTGACGTGTAGGATGAGCTTTCGGGCTCTTCTGATCGGCAGCCGCTACCTTTGCAACAAGAACTCGATTTCTTGGTCGATTTCCTGGCCGGTCTCCTGGTCGATTTCGACTTCGATACTGCAGAACTGCGAAGAATGTTTCGAGATTGTTCAAAGATATCCTGGTTTTCGAGAAAGTTCCGACGACCTGCTCGACTTGACTTTCTAACCGTCTTTTGAACGTAAACTGTCGACTCGGGTCAGAAGGACGAGGAAACAAAATATCGCAGCGGTTGGACACCGGGTGTTTCGTATTGGCAACGATGAGGAGGTTGGAGTGAATAATTATATAATATTTCATGAAGGAGTTGATTCTCCTATATAAAGCAATTCACAATCAATCGAGTTGTGTAAATGAAACGAACTGTTTCAATGTTTTAACTGAACTCTACCTTAATTCGGGCAAAATACGATTAATCATTGAAATGATTATACATATTCAGAAGCTATAGAAAGGGCTTTCTGATCTAGAAAACACGAAGAAACAAGTAAATCCTTGAATAACCGCAAAGAATATTATTTATTCCATTAATACTACAATTTCCGAGTAATTATATTGACTTTTTGAAATTCCTCTATAGAAACTTCAAGAATACATCGAGACTAATTGATTTACAATTCTGCTTGCGTATTGTTAAATCAATTCCTTTAATTCTCACAGAAACATCTGTTATCTCTTTAATAATTTCTGAAAGAAACCTGGAAGTCATTTTCATCCGTCTGGTTTTAGTGTTAATGTTTACAAAAATCAGAAAATATCCAAAAATCGACCGCATTGGCTTCTGACTCGATTGTTCCTTTATTCACAGTAATATTTGAATATACCTTACCTCATTCTGCCGATGATCCCAACAATTGACGTTTCTCGTCCCCGAATTATCCCTTCCGCTCGAGACTCTTCCGGTTTACCGTTTCTTCCCCGCACTATGCAAACTTCGAATATCCAATGAATTACAACTCGCAATCGAAATCAATTAAGCGCCATCGATCAAATATCCTCTCTATATTCGCGCACACAGAAATTTAACCTACACAATGTTCGTATCTCACAACCGATTGCCCAAATATTCCCCGCGGACAACACTTGTCGGTTTTTATACGCTCCGTACAGGTCGCTCTTCACTTCACCTTTCGGCAACCGTCTCTGCCTTTTGTGTACACGCGACTCGAATCATTTACTCGACTCCTAATTCCATTGCCGTTTAAACGTGCCGGATTAACCGAACAGTTTCCTCGTTTCGAAACTTGATTGAATACAATCGATATTCACAGTACCACAGTATTTTGCAATTCTAGAAAACTACAAATTAACGGATGGCATTGCAATCACTCGGTAATGACAATCGACGATGATACTTTTATGCGAAAGCAGAATGTTAAACGTTGATTCATTAACACTAGAACCGAGCATTTAATACGATTAATATGCAATTCCTATAAAAATTATAACAATCATCTTCAGTTTCTTCAGAGACTCATTATAGTACTCAAATGAAACTATTTTCAAAATCATTTCGAATATTCAGTGCTTCAAAGATATCGATAATTGCTAAACGAAAAAATCGAAACCAGTCAGTTTGACTGGTAGTTCTAGTGTTAATTGTAATATATGCACTGTAGTATCAACACGTTGATAATTGTTTCTAATACTATTCTCCTCTATTATAAAGGAATTAATCTTACCGTAACAAAACACTCGAACTTCTCATGGCAGTCAACGCGTTGATATAATAGATAGATATAATCCGACTGATATAAACAAAAACATTCGATAGTGTGAATAAGCAACAGTACCATAAGAACTAGTACCAAATAATTGATAATTCTTGTATCTTCGCTAACAAGTGATGCCTACACCGCTGCATTTTCACGGCAATCAACGCAACCAATCACACACCCATTAATTGCATCGTGTTCGAGATTGTTATTGGACAGTGTTAAACTTTACTGCGTGCAACTTTCGTTCGATCATGTTTCTAATTATCAAGATACCAAGCGATTATTACGCCGGAGTTTTTCGACTGTTCAAGAAGGTTAATTCCTCGATCGACCCGTCGATTGTTCGCGAGGTCTCGAACAAAAGTCCCCAGCCCCGTGGAGCCGCGTTACGGGTCATTATGCAATCCGGGCATTGACGCAATTCTGATCCGATCGCGCGGCGCAGAACCGATCCCTGGGAAATCTTGAATTACACGTTTAATATGTATCGATCCGGCGCGAGGGAATTGAAAGGGCGACCGGTTGTTACGTTAATCTCTCCGCCCCCTCTTCGTTTACGATTATGGCACAACGCCGAGCGGCCTCGGTCTTCCACGAATTTCCAATTCGCGACGCGAGTGTTTAGACGCGTATCATTGTCCCGATGACTCGTCGGATTCTCTTCCATCCGTCGGGTGGAAGGATTCATTCACGGCCAGACATTCCGTGGAATGATCATGCGAACTCGAGAGCCGCGCCTAGCAGTATTTCAAACGATCTTCGCGAGAAACGCGATTAACGAGGATAATCGGAGATCAATCGAGTCTGAGAGGTGTATAACTGTTTCATCGACACTCCTTGAGTTTCGTTAACCTCTTGCCCTATGATTTACTTCTCAATTATGATCGAGGCAACTGCTTTGTAATTGATTGATGGAATGATTCATCAAAATAGAGAAAAATTGTGGGCGTACTCTATAGTTGCGTTCTCTCTGAAATGTAACGATTGATAACAGAACGATAATATTTAATTTGAATTCCAGAGAATTACCACTTATGAGTATTAAATTCTCTTGAAAATCTTCATCGTGTGATACGATATTATAAGACAATGGGTTAATGTATAGCTACAATTGAACTTTAAAGTACAAAACTCGCAACACACGAAGCTAAATTACACAACTAACGCTCGAACAACAGAAAAAAACGAACCAACACTAATCTCTCGCTACTCAAGTAATTAAATCATTCGTCAGCGACATAGTGCTCCAAACATGAAAATTCCTAGCCAAAATCTCGATGTTCGTCCGCGGAGGATTAAAAGCAAACGTTTGAAAACGTTCGTAACCCACTTAACTCTAAAAATGCAAATATAATCCGATCGTAAAATCCGCGGCTGAAAATTCGAAAGACCTTAGAAGAGTCGCAATGAAGCTCATCGTTAATTCTCTCGGAAAGGGTGAATCGTTTCCGACCGATCTCGTCGGTGCAATCGATTCACCGCACATAATGCCGAGCGTTTTTCCACGTCGGGATCGGAAATCGTCGGGGGAAAGGATGGAATGGAGCGGCGCGCGATTACCTCTGTTCCCGTTCGAATCGCGAAGGGCCACTTATCGAGGGATATCGAGAAGCCACAGGGTCCCATTAACGGGAGGACACAGGGAGCGAGGCTTATGCAATCGGCTCCCGGGCTCTCGAGCCGCCATTGCTGCGGAATGTCCATTATAATACGCGGCGGCTGCGCGACCGTCCATTCATGCGTTCGGATTCTGCCCTGTCATCCGCAGACGCGATCGCTTTGTTTAGCGTTTTGACGCCAGGCCCGCGTGACAGATTGAAGATCGATGCGACAATAGGCCGTGCATCGAATATTTCCATTGTCCCGTTAATCTGTCGCCGGTAATCCCATTGTACCTGTTCCGTCCTCGCGGCGCGAGTACATCGGCCGCTGCGAACGGTTTTGAATCGAAGCCACGAGATCATCCCTATAGAGCTCGGTCGTGTTTAGGGGATAATTATTATTCGTTCTTCATTCGTTCGGAAGCTCTCGGGAATGTTCGAAACTTTTCAGAACTCTTTTCTCAACGGTGCAAGCACCGAGCTTTTAACTACGGTAGACTTTCACGAAGGAATTCGGTCGCGAATGGACGGAGAACGACGGAACTTTTCGTTGGGTGTGCATTTTTAAAGTATGTTGAAATTTCTTTTATTTCTTTCTATCCCGCGTTGAATTGTTAGTGTACGTACTGAAAATTTAACTCTGCGCTCAGAAGTTTCTCAGTAGAAATGTTTGGACGTTTTCTGATGAAATATAGACGACGTTGTTTGAAACTAATTTAATGATACTTTATTTATTATTTTATTTAAATATTTCACATTGCAAAATATAATTTTAATTTAAAATACTGAATATTCAACTTCATAGTTTTGCTGTATCAAATCAAGTGACTGAGTCACCTTTCGAGTGCAAAGGGTTAACAGTGACATGTTTGGATATATCGGATATCTAATGAAGCAATATTTTTAAGCGTCTAGGCGTCTACAGTAGTCAAAGTTAATGCGATTAACGCGTGATCCTTATAAAAATTATGAGAATAGATTTCCTGCGGTTGCTTTGTGTGTTCGTTTTAGTACTCTAATGGGACTGTGTGTTTTCACATTGTTTCGGATATTTAACGCTAAAGCTATCGAACAATTAGAGGCTGATAAACCATGTTTATCCAAGTGCCCCGGCGAATACACGAGGAATCCAGCGCCAGCAAATTGCTCGGTACACCGTAGGAAAGTTGATTTAGGGCGTTCCCCCTAATCGTCGCCCGCGCTGGCCAGGAACGGAAGGAGAGGGAGAGTTCGGGGAAATATAGTCCGTCTACCATGTGATGTCTAGGCTGAGGAATGCGTGTCTCATTGGTCACTTCTCAGCTTCTTTTATCTCATTTTCCATACTGATTTGCCATTCGCCACAACGATTATACCGCGTCGAGTAAAAGTGATTGAAAATAACGAATAATAATAAATAATAGATGAATAGAATTTAGTCGTCATTGTACCGTGACCAGTGTCGAGCGAAAGAGAGATCACGCATAAATTAAGGAACAAAGCTAATTTACTTTAATATTTCACGTACGATAATATCAAATTAAATCGTAATAGTAAATTTTATTTTAATATTTTATATATGATAATATCAAATTAAATCGTAACAGTAAATTTTATTTTAATATTTCACATACTGTAATATCAAATGAAATCGTAATAGTAAATTTCACTTCAATATTTCACGTATGATAATATCAAATTAAATCGTAATAGTGAATTTTATTTTAATATTTCACACATTGTAACATTAAATTTTATTACTTCGCATCTATTACGTCAAGTAGCCGCTAACCACTTAACAAAAGGTTAAAATTTCCAAAACTCCGAAAATATCCAAAAGTCGATTTAACCGCGTCTGCTTCCGAGCGACTCGAAACGGTAGACGGACAATACTTCCTCGGTTAGGCATCTCTCCCCCTCTTTGTTCAGCTAAGTTCCCCGTTTCCTTACGTCATCCTCATCGCTGAGTCACGTCGCTCCCCTCTCCATGGGGTCCCATAAACCTCAGCCACCCTCGGTCATACACCTTAAGGAGGCCGACTCACCCTCCGACGATGTCGGTGCATGATCCAGCCGTTCCGGATTATCGGATCTCGCACCTTGTTTCGATAGCCGGCTCCCCCGCTCGCCGAGGAATGAAACGCGCACTCTATATCAGGAGGTTTTACGGTCGATCGAGTCCGCAACGCGAACGGAATCGTTCCGACGGAATTTCAGGTAAAAGAATCACAGTGGACGTACGTACGTGCATCGGCGATCGACGAATGAGTTTCAATATCGGCATAATCGACTCCGATTACCACACCGATCGCCTTCAGCTCGGTCTAACCGCCGCGCCGCTTAACTCGGTAATTGTATCGTGAAATGGAGGAAATGTTACGGGAGAAAAACGGCTCCGTATAAGAAGAAAATCACGGTTTTGACGCATGTTCTAATAGCCGAGAGGATAAATCCGCGCGATTCCCGAGTTAACAGGCTCGGAACAAAGGATTTGCATAATTGGCGAATCATTGCGCTCGCATAATGAATTTTTTCAATGTTTGTGGTGGATTCAAAGGCTCGAGGTGGCCGGAGGCCGGGGAATGGTCGGGAATGTCGAAAGCGGCCGCAAAAAACGGCTCGCCGGATCGGCGGAGAGGAGCCGCGCTCGCGAGGTCTCGTCGTCGAAAAGGTGATCGGCGACGCGGGGAGGGAAAAAAAGCGATGGAACGATGAAACATCGACGCGGAAAGAAGCGGTGACGTCACGGAGGAACGAAAGGAATGAGGAGGATGATGGAAGGGATCGGAATGGAAACGATAGGGCCAGCTGGGACGGGAATCGAGACCGGATGCGAGCGCCTTCTCCGC